ATTTTCCGCACTTATTCTTGTGTATTACAAATAATTAAGGATGCAGATAAAATTTTATCAAAGGCGTTTTCAGTGGCTATAACAATTTTCTTTACATTGTCTGTGTTCTTATCTTATCAAATAGTGTNATAAATATTACGTTTTCCGTTGTAATAACCTGTATTGCATTGCTTGCTGTTATTTGCTGGAAACTGAACGCCATATTTAATTATGTTAATGAGAATCTGATGGATGAAGATCTAAAGGTTTCTGATATTTTCCGCACTTATTCTTGTGTATTACAAATATTTAAGGATGCAGATAAAATTTTATCAAAGGCGTTTTCAGTGGCTATAACAATTTTCTTTACATTGTCTGTGTTCTTATCTTATCAAATAGTGTTCTCAAAATACGTCGGACTTCTAGTTTAATTGTTTCGTATCTTGTACTTATGGTAATTTTCGTACTTATATTTGGAATAATTAGTTTGATGTGTTTAATATATACTCAGGTAAGTATTTTTTTTAAATGCCACAGTAGCAATTTCATTTACATAATTAATTTTTAAATTATATTATACGTACATTTATTTTTCTAGCGTTATGCAATTCAAATTAATTATCATCAAAATAATTAATTTGAATTACATAACGTTTGTATAAATATTATGATGATAATTTTTACAATAATGAATATTAATTATTATCATAGTATTAAGGCGTTTATAAACCATATTTTGTTCTTCAATGGATCACTTAGGCCTAAATAAAATCAGACAGTTAAATAGTTAATTTGGTTCTGATATATATACCTGTAAGTTATATATTGGCCAATATATCTGAATCAGATCAACTGTAAATTATTCCAGAGGATTTTCGTCGATTGAAACAGGATTACCAAGATTCATTTATCTCTTGATTAATAAGGTCTTCAATTTACCCTATATATCTTTAATATAGAGTTTTATTTAAATGATTTATTTAAAACATAATATATAAAACTATTATGTTAAAAATAAAAATTTAATTTATGTTTTAGTATTAATACTTTTCCGCGGGGTAAGTGTTAACAATGAGTGATAACACTTCACTAACAATGGTAGTTTCAACTACCACACAATCTCATATCAATTCCTTAAGCGAAGCCGAGTAGCCCAGCTAGTACACTTATATGGATGAGCTTAGTTGGTTTCGTTGAAAGATATCTTTAATGAACTCTGGTCTTATTCGTTGTACTAGGAAAAACTACCGGTCAGAAGATTAATTAGTACGGTGATCTACAAGGAACATTTCAGAGTTTCCTGCTCATACACGAAACTTAACTAGAAACATGCTCTTTTCTGACTTTAAAAACATCTTTTAGATGCATACGCACACTAAATTTAAAAAAAGTAAAACAATGCACAAATTCTTAAACCCGACATTTTTAATATGTAATATGTATTCTATCGGTCCCCACTATTTTAGGAAGTATAGAAAAGTGTGCAGATAATGATAAGGGGTTGATGGAACAAACAAACAGTAACAGATAAATGAAAACTTTAATCGATTATTAAAGACAACGTTCTCATACAAAACTTTTTGGTCAAATGCCCCTACCCAAGCCTTGTAATATCACATGCTGTAGTTTATTAATTTTTTTTTCTTTTGCTGAATCATAGTAGTAGCCATTACAAAATCCAAAAAAGGTTGATGAAAACTGATCCCAACCTTTGCTGATATCAGCAGGTTAATGAAGCTTTCCTATCCAACTCCTTTTACGAATTCTGTAATTGTTTATTTTCATTAGACAACCGATTTCCATCAGAGGATTCTATTATAGAACTTAACATTATTTAAAGATACGGATTTTAGACTTGGCCACCATTGTGGAAATGTTAAGCACTGAATTAATCTGTTTATTGATGTCGGTTCCTACAACAGAAAATCGACGTCTAAAAAGATGTTTTTAATGATGATTTTAACGGTCCATTATTAATCAAGATTTCAGTGTTTTATCTTCAGATTGTTTTGTATCATTCTCTCACTTCAACACAAATGATTTAAAAAAGATTTCAACTTGTTTTGCGTGACCTTTATTACTTAAACGTAAATAATGTCGAGTTTTCTTGAAATTCCATCACTCTCTATACAGTTGACCCCCCCTACAATACTGTTGATAATTCCGTGTTATATGAATTCCATGTTGTACGAGTCACTTAGATTTTACAAATACGTGTGCTGGGCTGTGAACGGCTCACGTATTTGTAAAATTTAAGTGACTCGAATTGTTGATAATTCGTATAACACAGAATTATCAACAGTGTTATAGAGGGTCAACTATAACTAGTTTCATAACGCCGCAGTTGTAGAAAGTTAAAATGTTAAGTTCTATTGAAATTGCGAGCCTTCTTATAATCACTAAAAATATTTTCGTTAAAATTCACTAAACGTAGATTCGAAGGGAATAAAACTTGCAAAACACAACAAAGCCAAAGAATTAACAAAAAAAAATTCTCTAAATGGCTAAAGTTAAAAAAATGTCATCTCAATACAAACCACAGACACATATGCTCCTGAAAGCCAATACTTTTGCATTCTAAAAATATGAATGAACTAAATAAAAGAAAACTGATTGCAAAGTGCTTTCATCTGTTAATGGTTTTCAGAACTAATTATATTAAAAGTTTTTAAAGATACTGTATATATTTACAGTGTTACATATCGCTTCTTGCTCCATGTTTAACAACCTTTCCCCGCGAGGGGAATTTCGAAAAATCCCTTCTTAGTGTAGCGGCACGCACATTGTACACTTACCTTTTTAATATATATTGATTAGAGTACATACCAATTATCAATATCAATACAGAAGAACAACGAAACGAACGAATTGAAGAATCAAGAATTGCGACACAATCTTATAATAAAAGACTGCGAACGCAAGCCACCCATGTTCCATTTTTTCAAAAACGCAAAAAACCGCATCTGCGCCTGTAAATCTTGCACGTCGCTTTCTCTTAACACTTCATTTGTTACTTAACCACTTCCATTGTTGACACTTTCATTGTTAACACTCCCCCGCGGGGGAATTTCGAAAAATCCCTTTTTAGTGTACGTTCTCATGACGCACCCTAACTGTGTACCAAATTTCAACCTTCAACTCCTAACCGTTTGGGCTCTGCGTTTCTTATTATTATTCGGAGTGGCTATCTCAAAGGACAATTTTGGCAACTAAAAATAATATTGTCGACGATATTAACTTTAATTAATATTGAAAAGAAAATTCCCGGTAATACTCAAAAGAAAATTCAGAACTGGCAAGAGCTCTTCCTCTTTTAAGTTTGGGCATTGTATAAAATATAAATCAAATAAACTTTTTATTAACAAATACACTAATTACACTTTAGACAGTTTTCACACTTTATTTACGATTTATATTCAGTCACTGTATCATTTTGACTACTCACACGTCACTGGTTTTATTTACTCATTGCACTACTTTGGAATTTTCACTTCTTTTTCGGTTTTTCCCTTCGTCACTGATAAGAAACTGACGTTTGAATTCACGACGGATCTTGCTTTATATACGTCTCCAATGGGTAGTCCCATTGGTGGGGTTATATAAAGCAAACAAACCATGTGGACCATTCGAAGCATACAAAAAAGGCTTCGAATAGTCCACAATGTTCCACAACATTCCTCAACATTCGAGAATGTTCTGGAATGTTCCACAATGATTTGGGATGTTCCATGATGTTTTCGAACGTTCCAGAACATCCCGGAACATTTTGGAATGTTGTTAAATACTCTGGAATACTCTCGAATGTTCTGGACAGTTTTAGAAATTTCTAGAGGGAGAAACTTCCAGCTCTAATATCTTCAACAGCACACCCTTTAGGTAAAAACGGGAACCTTCTTCACGGATAGGGGATAGAGCGCTATCACACCATATAACTCCCTTGATCGTACCGGAACTCGTTATTGAGTTTTATCGGCACGCACATTGTGCACTTACCTTTATAATATATATTGATTGATTAGTATTTTAAATGTTAAAGTAAAACAGTGTCTTTTGGTTTTTATATATTGTCTAAATATTTCATAAAAAAATTGAATTAGTCAATCTTTAATTTTGATAGTTTTGAATATGAAATTGTGTCTGACGACGTAATACTACGAGCACATTTGTCAATTTATTAAGTAAAATACAAGATTAAAAATGCATATCGTATTCTGAGAGAAATATTAATATCTTTACATAAATCTAAATTACTTAATTAATTTCAAAAAAACACAACACCTTAATTTGCTGAGAAAAAAAATTTAATGTAAAGCTAACGTTTTCAGCCAAATCAGTTGGCCATCGTCAGGCTAAGAACATTCGAATATAAATAAAATAGAACAAAAATTTAAATACAAATAAAATAAAATAACGAGCGAAATATATATATAAATGTATACAGACTAATAAAATAAATAAAAATTATTGTTACAAATAACAAAAAATGTATACGAAAAAATAAGCATAGGTTAACTAAATATTAAAACGTTATATAGAAATTCAGTGAAATGCACTTTATGCGAAAAAATATTAAAATCGCCGCAATAAATTAAGATTTGTCCAATCGTTTGATAAAGTATTTCCAGGCCGAAGGCAACCCTTCAGAATCTCTAGAATTGATGCATGAATCATGCAATTTGCTTTTATATATTTCAATTTTTTCTGCGCAATTCGCCAATGTCGGTGAATGTACCGATTTAATAATTTCTGCTTCGTCCCATTTGACGATTGAGCCTTCAACTTGCGCCATTTGCGATAGTATAGTGGCACTAGATCCCTTGCTGATGTTATACTTA